ATGCAATGAAAAAAGAAGCGGTTACTAGCTGTAGGATGGAAATATGAAAGGAAGGTAACATTAGGCACTGGTACCTCTGAATCGAATTCAATGACTGTCGGATTTTTCCAGCCGGACGAACCATGGTAACCGTTCGGTCTATGGTTCGTTAATTTCCTCATTAATTGCCCGGACTTTAAGGAACAGGATTCATTTACAGATTCGATGAGGGTACAAGAGAAAAAAAAACTCTGACCTCATATTTCATTCTTCCTCAACAATTAAGTTTTGATCGAAGACAAAAGTGTCGATTGCATTCCTGGGACTGGAAACCGTTTTATTCTGAATGAAAAGAAGGAAAGTAGAACAAATACGCATGATGTACATGATTTTAGTGTAAGTGAAAAGTTAAAGGAAACTGATCGATGATCAGAAAGATGGCAGCGTTGGCATGATGGATGTATTTATGGAGTATATCTTGACCCTGTGATGATTTCGACACCACACCACGTAGCACCTAACTGACGTAAGGCCATGTTAGCCAAATAAAACCTTAAATCTAATCGTAAGATTGAATGTCGGCTAATTTCTTTGATTGCATTTGACAGGATTTCATCGAACTTTGAAAAAATATGTGAGGTAATTTTCAAATATTTTTCGACAAATTTTCACTTCCCGTCGTGAAACCTAACGAATAATGTGTACAATTCCCTTAGTTAGTGTCAAATGCAACGAACACTATCCAAATTTCATGTTGACTCCTGGATGCAACTATTCGGGTTCCATGGATGTGCGTGTTACATACGCATGGAGGTGAAGGCGTTATGACTGTCCAGGCACTCACCACCTCACTTGTGGCTCGCGGCGCCGCGGCAACTGCGGGTTTTACTGCGAGGGTCCAAGGTGGCAAAGCACTTTCAATTCTTCGTTTATACTATAAAGTATCTCCAAGGCACGAATAGTTGCATATAGGCGTATAGGATGTGAGTATCTTTTGTGCTTCGATTTTGATACCTCGATATGCTGAGAATGACTTGTAGAGCAGCTATTTATGCTGAAAAAATGTCTTCGAAGTACATAAATGAAGAATTGAAGGTACTCAGTCATTTTAAATCCTCGCATTATAAAGTTCGCCGCTCAATGAAATGAGCTTTACAGAGAGGTTGAAAAAGAAATTTTCGACTAAAACTACAAATTTTGATGTTTGTTGTTTGTTTTGATGTTTGTTGTTTTGATGTTTTGATGTTTGCTCTTTTCATTTGAGTCAACATTTTTTTACTCTAATTCTAATTCTTGAAATTTTGTTGACTCTTGTAATTTTTAAAATTTCTTAGCTTTGATGTCCCCGCGAAATGGTGTGGACCCAGGACAATTTCTCCACCTTGTTATATACAGTTTCGGGCCATCTTTTAGTGTTTTTTTCTCGTTTCCTGAGGAATATGTAAAGCCATAGATCCAGCGCCCACTCTCAGGTTTTTTCATCTATATGCCTTCCATGCTGTATGCATTGCTTGCATGCGTTACAGAAATAACTATAATTCTGCTACCAAGCTTACTCCAACTTTTCCCCCGGATTGCTTGCAATGGAAGACCTCAGTTCATATAGCACACGTCGTGATAAAATCTAACTTTGTTCCCATGATGATACGAGCTTATCAAAAGCACGACCTTCAAAAAGATCAGGCTCAAAAACGCTGCTCATTAAAGGACGAAAGCGAATGCGTGTTTTCAAATAATTTCCGTCGACCTCCATAGCCACGCTCACTTTCCCCTGACAACGGCTACCCATCTGGCCGCGCCTGAATTTGGGGGATCATTCTGATAAGAGCGCACGCAACAATGGAGCAATAACGTAATGAGCATTCGTATTCTCGGTACGATTCGGGGACCCGTGGCGGCTGGTGGGAGCGGGAGTCACACCGCTAATGGGACAGCAGCGGGAGGCGAAAAGATAAATGATGCACTAAAAACCCATGCGTCCGGGTACGCGCTAAGGTTGCCGCGTCACCCACGGTGAAATGTCCCACGATCCAACTGAGAACCTCAGTGACGCCTTTAGAGCAGAGATGGAAAAGTTCATGAAATTTCACGAATTTTTTTTCTCGATCAAACACTGGAAGAAAAAAGAAACACATTGGATCTAGAGTCCAGACTCTTGAAAACATTAACAAGAAAAAATACTCTTGATTCAATCAGATTTAAGCTTAAATCAAAAGGAAATCCGCTCTTATTAAGAGGCTTGGTTCTTGATTTAAGCTTAGATCTGATTGAATCAAGAGTATTTTTTCTTGTCGGTGTTTTTGAGAGTCTGGACTCTAGATCCAATGTGTTTTTTTCCGGTGTTCAATTCATAATTCCGAAAAAAATAATCAATTTCAAATTGTGTGAAATTTATTCGAGCCCTTTAAAATTTCACATTCTTGCTCTGATTTAGGGTGTAATCGTGGTTTCTAGCAAAACTATAAAGAGATCAACGAAAACGGTGCTGAGAAAAGAATGAATAAATGAATTACTTCGGTGTAAAAATGCAGGTAAAGAGCCTTGCACAAAAAACGTCGAAAGCCGCCCGTTTTTTGGGCCCTCAAAATTGGGGTCCGTGTGAGGTTATTTTTTCATCCTAAGGATAAACCTTAAGACGTTCTAAAATCCCAGATTGAGCATACGAATTGCTTTCGAGAAATGAGTCCCCATTGAAGTCATCCATTTCGAGGGTCCAATAATGGGCGCATTTGTGCATAGCTTCTTTCACAAACAGTTTAAACGCATCAGTGTTGAAGAGAGCCCTTACATCAAAGTTTGTGTTAGCTGTGGGTATTTTAAATTTGAAAATGAACAGAAAATAACATATCTTGATCGCAAGGATAGATACATCTGGAACTTTAAAAAAAATAAAAAAATAAAATGTCATTAAAAATTCGAATTTCCTTTCAGAATATTCTCTCGAGTTTCACAAAAATAGATTGAACAGGATTCTAGGTAGTGTATACGATAGCATGTACGATATCGTTCAGGTTCGGTCTGCCATCGTTGATTGTAAAATTTTGAAAATTTGACACAAAATTATGTTCCTTATCAACTAATGCTCTCGAATATTGAGTTTTAAATAATTAATCGAACAGGAACCGAAATAGCATTTTACGCCACGTCCGCCATCTTGGATTTTGAAATTTCGACAATTTTACTTAAAAGTCCAGCTTCCCGTCAAAAAATACCCGTTAGCATCCAATTTAAAAAAAAAAATCAAACAGGAGAATTACATTGTTCACACCAAGATGCATTATCGTTACAAAACCAACCGTCGCATTATGCGGTGATTTTCTCCTAAAAAGGAAATGCAACAGTGTTTAGGTCAGGAGTTGAAATGACACTTAAAGCAGAGGAATTAATAAAACTGGATAGCCCACCACGCAGACCGATGCACCACACCACTGCACATTACGCGCGTCATAATGTGTCAGCCAGTGTTGTCAAATCCTGTCAGTGTCTTTCTTGGAGACTTTAACGAACGGTAAGAAAAGTAAGACAAAAAATTAAGCGAGCAAGATCATAAACATGTTTTAGTTATTCTCGGCAAGTTTCGATTAATTGATTTATATATAGACGGTTACAATCGGAACATGCGTATCTCAGATTGCGACGTTGTAATTCTTCGCTTATATTTTATTTTTTCATAGAAGAACAGACCAACAGTTTCTATTCACATCCTCTTTAAATTTTCTGTCAATCTAAAAAAATCTCACACACTTGCAAGAAAACATTTTGATTAGTTTAAAGTGAGGAAAATAAAAAATAATCAGAGATTATCAAACGTTGCAATTGAGGTATACATATTTCAAATTTAGCCATCGATATACAGGGTGTCCCAGTTCAATGGAAAATCATTTTATCAAGGGGAGGTTCACTGATGTTTAGTTTACAGCAGTGGTTTTCTCATCGTTGTTAGGATATACTTGGCATAGGGTGTTCATAGACAATCTCGATCGAAGGGAGCCAAATCTAAGTAGCTAGACCTTGTCTGCTGTGCTAAGGTAAAACCGCGTAAAATTATGCAGCCGTTGTCAAATTCCTCCAAATAAAATACAATTTCACTGAAAGAAAAAAATTGGGATCTTACCCTTCAAATTTTTTTCGAACATCTCATTCTAAATTCAGTCTAGTTCCCAGACAAATGACAAGGAAAATATTCATAAACCATCTTTAAAATAAACGTTTTATCCGGGAGATTCGACAACATGAGAATGACCATACAGTGTTTTTCCTCGGCACAGTAGTATACTCTACGGACACCAAACGAATCCAAAAGTCGGTATACAGGAGATCCGTCCTGCTGTGCTGAGGAAAAACATCGTATGAACATTCGCTCGTTGCCAAATTTCCTTCAACAAAACATAAAATCCCTAGGAATTTTGTAAATATTTCTCTTTCAATTTCTCAGAGAACTTTTCTTCGATATTCAACCTTACAGTATCTGAAACTTCCAAGGTAAAACAATCGTAACGTCTTTGAGAAATATATATTTTATTCGGGGAGATTTGGCGACGTATGAATATTGAAACGGCGTTCTTCCTTAGTAAGGCGTCGCACAGTGGAACAAACTAATAGAAGAAGGCGGATATAATATTGTTGGCTAGAGGTTCAAAATTTGATGTTTATTTCGTCACAAATTCAATTTCAAAGGGTGTTTCTGAGAGGAAATTTTATGAAAAAACCAATGGAACCACTCTTGAGCTTTATTTTCGAAAATATAAGCTTTCGAAGTTTCAGGATTTTGTCCGACTTCTCCTATCGACTCGGTCCTCTGTGCGTCGTTGGGGACGAAGCGGCAAGCCCGGGCCGGCAAAGCTCTAAGTCGAAGCCCGCTGCCCAGCTCGCTGGCCTACTGACCTTGTTCGACCGAAGCTCGCCGCGCAGCCAGCTTCGACCAGCACTCGCTCGACTGACTACCCGTAGTTCCTCCACCGCAGCCACCGACAATTCCAAACCGAATCCTTTCTTCCCTGCCCCCTGCCCCCTGCCCCCTCGCCCATCACCCCTGGACGGCCCAGGGGCACCTCTCGGTCTCATCGACTCGCGTTTTCCATTTCGTTTTCGGAACCGGTGCCTGGCGTGGCGTTGCGTTCGGTGCGCATTTCGTTTTTGTTTGCCGTTGTCCGGTGGCGGCGGGCGTTGACTGTTGAGCACCGAATTCGGGGCCCCTCCCCGACCCCCGGCGGCCTGAGCCTCCTGCGGCCCGCTCGCGACTTAATTCCGCACCGGCTCCCGTACGGATCGTTGATGGACCTCCCGTTTCCGTTTTGTTTCGCTTCGGTTTCGCAGCCCGCTTCCGGTTTCGTGATCTACCCGCTTAGTGCAAGTGCAAGTGTTCTGTTTTCTCCTGCAAGTGCTCTTCACCCTCCTCGTCTGTGATTTTCCCTTGTCCAGGTAAGAGCTCATTTTCCTACTGGTGTCGATTTTTTTTTTTAACAAAAAATAATCGTTCTGGACACAGACAAAAATATGTAAACTACTCGTTGAAATACTTTGTTAGTGAGCGTCTGGGCGAAAACAGACTTCGGTCATGATAAGGAGTGTTTAGTTCCATTATTTTTAAGCATACATAATGTTCGCAGTGACGTCATCTTGATGAGCATTGACTTATCAAGTGGCCGTGTTCTTCAACTCGTTATCAAGTCGCTGTCATCTGCGTCGTCGCGGATATATCAGTTCAATATTTTTTCGAGATGAACCATCTAAGATGATAACCGAGATTAAAAAGAGTATGAGTGCGTCAAATTTCTTCTATTCTTCCCTTTTTTCAAAGTCAAGCATGTAGTTCTAATTGGTTATCAACTCCCCAATAGCACTGTTATTCATACTTTGAAGTGGTTGTTTGGATCTTGAACAATAAGCCTTCATTTTGATTTCTTATCAGTCTAACTACCGATTTCCTAGTACACACAAAAGTACTTGCACCTTTGCTATTTCAACCTCGCCCTCAAAGCTGTACAAGTTTACTGTGGGTTGGTAGAGTCAATATATTGAGGGATAGAATGTAATGCGATACACTATATTATCGCCTTATGAATGATGCACCTTTAAATCAGATTTTAAAGATATTAGGTTGATAAATGCATAATTAATGGTAACTCTTCAGTTTTACAATTGATTCAGCCTCTTCTAATGACAGATGACACCAAAGGTACGACTGACTGTGCAGAACTTGGCTCACCTCTGTTTCTTGAACATAATGGAGTGTATTTAAGACTGGTATTTCTCGCTTTATGTCTACTGATTCTAAGCTATTCACGTATTCGCATAGGTACTCCAGGAGAACTACTCTTATGATGTGAGGAATATTTCATTGGAAATTTTAGCTTACGTGAGATGTTATTTGTAAAAATGTAAGCAAATAATATCAGTTATTGGGTATTTACGGATAGGGTAACAGAGGAATGCCATAAGTGATGTTCTTTTGCAGCTGTACAGCCGTACACAGTTTTGCAGTGCAAGGAATCAATACGGTGTTTTTTATTAAGGTTTTTCTTTGAGAGAATGTGCAAATAAAAAGCAAAGAATTGAAGAGAAAGCGCAGGGCTATGAACTTATGGATTGCATATCTGCAAGACTGATAAGATGTGACTTTTGCCAGTTTAGATGTGTTTGAATCAAATTGCATTCTTTCATAAAAACGGCGGGTGTGCGGATGAATTAATTGCTTGATAATAATAGGATAATCAGAAAAACTCTGAAAATCCCCAATTAATATAAAGCTTTAGCGCTGAGATGAAAGGTCTGATTCCATAGATCCCTCAGAGATGACATGAATACCGATTGGGCTGAAATTAGCAGAAAGGATCTAACCAATTTTAGTAATTTCAGAAATGGCATGTTTGTATAAGACTCCCCTGTACAAATACAAGCTTATATGAATGTACCTCTGTGAAACTGTACTCAGTTTTCTCTTCGGAATTCCTTCGACAATGGGCTTTATGTTACTCGCAAAAACTGGTGTCGCAAAATTCGAAGCTTTTAAAATACAAAATTAGGCCATGAAGATGTGTTCAGATACAAGCATAGCTTAATTTGCTTCTATCATACTTTAATGCCATTTGTCAAATCACGTTTCAGTCCTATCTTTGATCATTTACTTCGGGGTTTCCTTAAAAATTCTGTGTGCCATTTGTACAAAAAGATAAATAGACCGGTCATTGAAAAAGATACATTGTGTTCTTGGATAAATAACAAGATTCTTCTCATTTCTATGATCATCATCTCAAAATAATGCTCAATTTAATAACACCCAACTCTATGATCATCATCTAAAAGTAACACCCAATTCACCCAAATTCTCGCATATAAGTGGAGAGAGGAAAAAATACGGATTTAAAACATAAAAATGTAAGTCAACAGGGAAATGAATAAACGAATTATCAAGGACAAAACATGGCGTTCATCTATGCATGCACGGAGCATTGCGATGTGCATTCAAATCCAAACGAATTAACGACGAAACAAATCACAGCTTGGTTAGAAAGGTGAAGTAAGGAAACACTGGGGAAAAGAACACATTGGCCAGACTCTTAAAAACATCGACAAGAAAAAATACCTACTCTTGATTCAATCAGATTTAATCTTAAATCAAGAACCAAGCCTCTTAATTTGAGCGGATTTCCTTTTGATTTAGGCTTAAATCTGATTGAATCAAGAAACCTTTTTCTTGTCAATGTTTTCAAGAGTCTGGACTCTAGATCTAATGTGTTTTTTTTCCCAGTGAAAGATAAGAAGGCTCTTAAAAACATTCAGACTGAGAGAGAGCCATTCATACACTTGTTTGCAGGAGGTCGATGGTTTCTAAATTTCTCAAGATCTGCCATTATCAGAGTATGAGACAATAAATCCGCCGATGAAGATGAAAGACAGAGCGGGGTTCGAAGAGGCCCTGGCGGCAAAATCTCTCCTGGGAGAGAGACCAAAGGTATTTGCTCGAGGGCTCACTTTGGCGAAGAATCCACATTTTTTACAGCTCTTGAAACTCGCGTTTTCGGCTGGTATTCGGACATGCTATATAATTCTGCGAGGCAAGCTTGTAGAATATTAAGGGTTTTAGTTGAAGATTTCAAGATATAGGGACACTAATAATGCTTTGCTCAAATTCTTTTTAAGTCATTTAAATGGATATATTTTAAGGCCCGATGCATGGACAACTTAAGTGACATGTTTTTTTGAGAGCAAGGATATCGATCATTTCAAGCGCAATCAATTTGGAAGAATAATATGGTAACATGTGACTTCCAGGACTCAATTTTCAGTCATACAGTATGAGCAACTTATTTTCAAAGCTCTTTAACCCTCTATGGCATGAATTAATTTTGTATCTCAAATTCCGGGGGACACGAATACATTTTGTAGCCTGCATAGAAAACATGGATTTCTATTTTTTTTGTTTTTAAAAGTTTAAATTTTAGGGTATCAGTAATTCAAAAAAAGAAAAAAAAACTAATGCAAATTTGCAAAATCGTGCCACAGAGGAAATATTAAATTTTTGAAAATCCCGAAAATACGTTGTTACGAATTCGTAACGCTATGCCATGTAGGTCAATAACCGTACATCTATTCCTTCTAGTAAGATACAATTTCCTTTCACATCTTAATGTTTTTTTGGTTTTATGCGCAATGATGAGATATACAATTAGGATATTAGCTATCTCAAAACGGTGTATTTATGTACTCATTTTTTATCCGAGATTTTCATTTCACGCGAGTTCCTCCACTTAATACAAAGTTGGGTCGAGAGGTCTTTCTGATTGGTCGAGAAGTCTTTCTGTTTGGTCGAGAGGTCTTTCTGTTTGATCGGCTCCATTTTAGGGGCTGAAACCTCCTGCGCGAGCATAAAAAGTAGGCTCGTTCGAGTGGACTTGATTAGCTATCTCGAATAAATATGAATAATAAAAGCACAAGGATTGCAGCCTTGAATCAACATTTCAGAGAGGACCGAGAGGAGGAGAGAAAGTTTCATCCGCGAGAGCGAGTGGCGGGACATTAACCTCGTGTCGTGCAAATCTGCGTTTGGCGTTGACATTATCATAAATAAACTAACGCTGATCTCACTTTGTTCCGTCGTCTTGGTTTTACTGGATTTTTCGGCCGAAAATATTCTCAGATACTCGCAATTTGACACAGCATTCCCAAGTTCTCACGAACTGGCCATCCGAACTAAACCTATGGCTGGTCCCTGTTAAGCTTTCTGAGGATCAAACCTGTCTTTATGGACAGCATCAATTATAATTGGACTCAAATTAGTAATAGTAATTTGAGTCCAATTATAATTGCGACTGTCCATATATCGGAAGTATTTAGCCATTTAGCCGATCATTGAATAACGAGTAAAAATCAATACGAGCTCATGATATTAATATTAATGGGAAATTCGGGCAAAACCTCTCCAGTAATTTCGTCCGCAAAATTTGAATCCCAAAGAAGTCAGACGTACATTAAGGCGCCGCAACAGACTTACATTGCTGCTTGTTTTTTCTTCGCACTTTGGGACACTTTAAAATCAAAAGTTGGACTTAAATGTTTTGTCACATGTTTTGTAAAAATAATATGCGCCATCCAGTTTTGTGCATGATGTTCCTTACCGTAACCAAACTTAAATACTTTTGCCTTGGGGACTTTTTCTTGGAAACTTTTCTAATGAATGTTGTTATTATTTCACGACAAAACATTTCATTTTAAGGTCACTGTATGCCCGTTACATGAGAGGAATCTCCGTTCAATTTCAGCAGCATCCGGATACGTTAGCCATCTTCCAGGATTTTCTTTCCTCAGTTGTAAAGCAATATCGGGTTTTCGATAGATTGAGGTGCTTTGATTTTTCCCCACGTGCCTTGCCAACCTACTCTTCCAAACATTAAAACGCGTCATAGGGGCCTAACTATGCCACAACTATGCCACAACTATGCCACAACTATGCCCCTAAAGTTGGCAACAGCGTGCGAGCAAGAGTCGTCGGACTTTAAGTATTTTTAGTGGGAAGTTTCGATGCGATCATCTTTCCGGAATCCTAGCGGAGAAAGTTACTGGCCGCGGAGAGCGATTGTGAGAAGGTAGACAGCATTTACCGATGCCAAAGCTGACCTTGGACCAGACACCACAAAGGTGGAGGGCAGAGGGTGCCAGGCGTGCTCCAATCTAATCCAATCCAATCAGATCCAAACCATAAATTGAGTCCGCGTGCAGCAGAAGGCGTTCGGCATAAATCAGAGATCGAGTGCATCGATTTTCGATGAAAGGTGCAACTCCTCGTATCGCAATGTTGTCTCATTGTACAAACCATAATTTGAGACAACCTTATGATGATACAGGTCAGATTCGCCTTTTCTACCTCTTAATTAGAGAACCTCACTGGAGAAAAAAACACATCGGATCTAGAGTCTAGACTC